ATATACACACACACACACACGCACACAAATTGTTAGGATAGACACACAGCTACCTTCTATTAGTTCAATGAGAAGAAATGTTTGCACTAATATTGTTTAGACAAGCTATCATGTCTGCATCTTGTCCTCTGAATAACTACTAGAAGACAATATGTAATGTATTAATTATTGTTCTATCCTACTAACCTTTTCTGAAACTGTTTCATTGCTATTTTTTCTCATTAAAATGAGTAAAAGCTTGAAAAAAAAAAAAGAATTTAAAACCAAAATAAAAAAAATAAATAAAGTTCATTTCTTCAGGAACATTAAAAAAATAAATAAATTCAATTTTTTGACTATTAAAATGAAGAGTAAATTATCCTGCTTTTAGGAATAACTTCCCTAAATGATGAAATTATTTAAAATGAACAAGAAGGGATGGCCAGATACCTCAACAGACTAAAGCATCTGCTAAGCAGAGCTCAACTCCACAAACTGTGCTGGCGCCCCACCCCACACCCCAGGGTACACTGAGATGGTGATTGAGACTGGGCATGGTGGCACATGCCTGTAATCCCAGTACTTGGGAGGCTGAAAACAAAATCACTACGAGTCCGATGTACATAGTGAGACCCTGTAGACCCTGTACTAAATACATGGAAAAAAAGAAAAGAAAATGAACAAGAAATCAGCTGCTAAAACTGTATCCCACTTCTTTCTGATTCCTTTTTTGTTTTGACCATAATGATTTTTGTCTTATGCTAAATTTTTCTGATTTCCCTACTTTCCTTGCTGACCAGAGAACCTAAACACACAGGGGATCTAATGAGAACCTGAGCTATGATGACCTCATTCTGATACCATTCTGTCTGGGGCTGAAAGCTTCCCTAAGCTTTCTCTGAATCCTATCAAGACCCTGCTACCCACATACCTTAAAGAAGATAAGGGCTGGGGGTCAGTCACCACTACCAAACAAAACTTAAATTATCATCCCCTTCCTGAGGGTGGAACAAGGACAGTTCAACATAGGCCTAGAGCCCTAACCTCACCTCCACACCTGTTGATCACAGCACTGCAGAAGCTTAATGAAGTTGAGATGCATTACATTTATCACTTGCCTTTATCCACCCAAATCCATCATTATGTCACAGCAAGAAGTTAGATTGATCTGACAGGATTTGCTCTTCTTCACAAACCCATGTAAGTTATTACTCAGTACCCATGCTCTTCTAGCTGTTTGCTGATTGATTATCTGACGATCAGGTCAAGTATCTTTTCTGGAATCACAGTAAACTAATGGGTCTATAATTTCAAGATCATTCGTATTACCCTTTTAAAGATAAGCAAGACAACAAATGCTTCTTCCTGAGTTCTCTAACGCAACAGCTAATGCTTTGCTAATAATGAACCAAGGCAGCCAATTCCTTAAGTGCCCTTGGAATCACATCATCAGGGTTCATTGATTCTGAAGATAATCTTTAATCAGGCTCAGATGCTGGTGAACAACATGAAGCTCTAACTCAGCCTGGGTCTAGAAAGGTGTGAGGAATAAGTCTGGGAAAAAAGCTGGTGGTACACGTGATTTTATCTGTACTGTATTATGTCTTCAGCACTGCAACAAATAAATAAATAAATAAAAAGAACAATGCCCTTAAACAAGAAAAGAAAGGTGACAATGACAGACCAAACTGAGACTTCAGTCAGGCTCCAACTTCAGGACCCTGTACCAGAGAAGGGAACAGAGAGACATAATGATCCGAGCTTAAATCTAACTGTGAAGGTAAGAAACACATCAGGAAGTAGGAGTGGCAAATGCCATAATGCAGATGCAGAGCAGTTCAGAAGGTTCAGAAGAGGGGTGAGTTACATGCGGTAGACAAGTGCTGGAGAGTAGACTCCCACCCCTCTAACTAAGGCTTACTCAGTGACTGAAACCTACCCTGGAAGGGAAATAATACAGAGTATTAGGATGTGGGTCACAGAGTCCTAACTTAGATTATATAACCCACAGTCACACCCACCATGCCAGAGAAACTTCAGGAGTTAGGGGAAGTAGGGAAGATGACACACAGGCAGGAGGAAGAAGCAGGGAAAGCAAATGTGGCTTCCTCTTGGAGCACTGTCCCCATCCAGCTCCTGTCCTCCGAGGCCTCAGTAAGCCTGATTCCAGTCCCCTGAAGATAACGCACCACTTTAACACAGAACAGGAAAGAGGAGGGCAGAAAGGGAAAAGGAGTTGTGGTGTCTTCTTTAGGTGAAGTAGTATACCATTTTAAAAACAAATCCCTTTCTGGAAACACAACCAGGAAAAGTGAAGTCAGTTTAACTCTGGATAGAGTCCACTGTTCCCTGCCTCCCAAGTGCCTAATGCTGAGGTCCTCTTCCCCACATCCTGCTTACTACTGAAAGCTGCTCCCTGATCAACATGTCTACACATCCAAAACTTACACTCTATATGAAAGAAGATTGACAGTCCTACAGCCAATATACCCAAAGCTTTCACACTATAATGAATTGCCCACCTAGTCCCCAATCATTCCCTAAAAGCAAAACTACACAAAGGTACCCAGCACAGGTGCTTCTCAAGCTGCTAAAAGCCTTACCTCTAAAGGTAAAAAAAAGTCTTTGTACACAATTGGTAACTAAGGGGAAAAAAAGTGAGCAAAGACATTTTCCTTTCCAACAAACCAACAATGGTTCTTATTCAGGTTAAACACTGCATAACACATCACCTCAAAAGCTGTGCCTTAAAGTACCAATAATCACAGTTCTTCTGAGTCAGGAATTTGGGAGTGGCTTAGAAAAGCTGAGGGTCTCTCCTGAAGTTGAAGTCAGATGTCCTCTGTAGCTATCCTCATCTGAAGGCTTGACTAAGGATGGCAGACTCACATGACTAGCAAGTTGATACTGGCTTCTGGATTAAACTCAGCTCCTATATGCATCTGCCTCTCTTCAGACCTGCTCAAGTAGCCTCACAGCATCTGGCTTCCACCCAAGGACACAAACCAAAAGAGCAAAACAGACTGCAGTATGTTTTTTGTAGCTTAGCCTCAGAAATCACACAGTATTTCTCCTACTATATTCTATTCCACTATATTTATTGTTGGATGTGAATACCAGGAGGTTAAGATCCCTGAAGGTCATCTTGGAGGCTGGCTACCACAATACTCTTTAAAAACAAGCAGCAGGGAAAGAGAGAAAGAAAGGGAAAAGAAAGAGAAAGAAAGACAGAAAAAGAAATGTTTTGATTCCCAAAAGCTGAAACCAAAGAGAAATAATGTACCCAGTTCTCCCCAAAGACTTCTCACTCTCTGCCTTGCCCTAGCATCCGTAGGTCAAGCCCATCTTCCTAGAAGGGACTCCAGACAAAAGCTAAAAACCAAGGAGATGTGAGAAAACACCTCTGGGTCCCTCCCTTCTTACTCACCCCACCTTTTCTTTGTTTTGTTTTGCTTTGTTTTATGGTACTGGGAACTGAGCTCAAGACCTTGCACTTCCCAGGCAGGCACTTATGCCCCTGAGCTATATCTCCAACCCCTTACCCCACCTTTTCTGAAGCAAGGAAACAATAGTTACCTGAGGATGAATCTGTGGCTTGTCACACGTGGCCTCAAAGTCCAGCACTAAAAAGTAGTGATACCTCTGGGGCGGGAAGGACACCATTGCTGCCATGGATGCGCCAAAGCCGTGGGCCGCCAGCTTCCTGGTGGATATGGAGCAGAACTCCGGAACACCACAGGGAGAAAATAAGTGGGAGCCCAGCACTTTTCTTGCTCTTGAAAGTAAATATGAAGAAAATCGAGCTGCTCCAGTCTGTAAAGGTGCTAGCATTGAACATCCAGAAGCATCTAAAACTTAGGGGAGGAAAGTTAAAAAAAAAAAAAAAAAAAAAAACAGCCTGGGTTACTCCCCTCCCTCTGTGGTCCTACTCCATTTGGTCTTAGGCTTCAAGAACATCCATGCAATACCAGCTACTCCCCAATGTTTCTGGGCCCTTCTAAATCACAGTATTCATTACTAAAGTTCAAGACCCTAACACTAACACCAACACCTGCAGCAATTTTACAGTTCTGAGTCACCCAGATCCTCCTCAAAACAATATGCAACACTGGCCTTCATCTTTAAATGCAGCTCTAGTTCAAAAGAGAGCAGAGAAAAATTCTGTGGTCACTTCTCTGCTGACAATAGCTAACTTTAAAGCTAAGGGTCCCAAAGTAACACGAGATGACCCAGCTGCACAATCAGCCCCAGGTGCTAAGTAGCCTAAGACAAACAGAGGGAAATGTCCATGCTCTCTCTTCAGCTCCACTGCCGGCCATGTGCCCCTGGCTCTCCCGTCTATCTATCCATACACCCTCCTCCCTTCTCCCAACCTGAAAGTGTGAAAGCAAATCAAGCCAGTTTTAAGGGAGCTTGCTTAGGACACTCTGGTCATTCCCCAACCCCACACCAGCCAGCAACACTCTGGAGGATGAACAAGGCCTGGAGAGTACAGCTGCCAACAGCCTCAGGCCTCCTCATCTGCTGCCTTGAGTCTCACTTTCTCTTAGGGCCCCTGAATGGCCCTGAACTGACTTTTTAAACAGGGAAGGAAAAAGAGAAAACCCAGATGTGGCAGTAATGGGAGCATTGCTAAAAGTCTAGTAAAGTTTTCTGAGTGAACATGTGCAAGAAAAAAAAAAATTCTAATTGCTTTTCCTGTACATTTTCCCTTTAAACATGTAGAATGTCTGTTCATCAGAGGACTAAACACTGTATAAAAATCAAAGCTTAAGTTTTACCCCCAAATAACTTTAGCTCCCCCCGCCCCTTGAAGGAAAAGCAGAAATTCTGTGCCCTTCCCACTTTTATACTCAATTCTCAAATTTCCCTTAACTTTAATCCTGACACCAAATTTTACCACCTGATACAGGAATCTTACTGCCCAATATAGAAGTGGCCAATTTATGCTTCCTGGAGCAGCCTTCCCACAGAACCAAAGGCTTGCCGCCTCTGAGTTACAGCATGTAAGCACCAGGCTCCCTCCACACAGGCTGGGGGGGATAATGCCCTGTGAGATCCAGGGCACACACTCAGAGGCACTGGACTTACTACTACCTGAGCAGAAAAGGACAACGCCAAGTATCACTTCTCAGTTCTCTCCTATCTCACTAAATGAGTCACAAGCATTTGCCTGCAGAGTTACCAACACATATGCTAGTGTGGGCACTCAAATGCTCTATCCCTATGCTGAGATATCACGGGAACTGTGTGCAGACTAAACATTTTAACTATGTTCTTCATGGATCCTGCACAAGCACAGTGCTTTTTACCATTGCTTTAGAGTTGCCCCCCAAATACAGCCCAAACTCCTCAGCCCATATAGACAAAAGGCAAAAGAGCCAATATCCCTTTAAAAGCCAGAATCAAAAATAACTTCTCTCATCATCTACTCCTAAACAGTCCTGGGAAACTTGAGATGGAGCACAAGCAATGCCACTTACCCATGCATTTGGATCAAAGTCCCTTAAATCCCTCTAAGTCAGAACACCCATAAAGACTTTTAAAACTCTCAATTTTGTGGGGTCAGGGAGATGGCTCAGTGGAATAAGCACTTCCCTGGCAAGTACAAGTGCCTGAGTTCAATCCCTGGTTCCGCCAGGAAAAAAAAAAAAAAAAAAAAAAAATTTAATCTATTTATTTATTTATTTGGTACAGGGTCTCACTACAGCACAGCTTGTTTTCACGGTGATCTTCCCATCTCAGCCTCCCCAGCGCTGAGATTACAGGCGTATACCACCACACCTGGTCTTGGTAGCTGGCACAATACGCCCAGGGTTCCAGGGCTGGCATGGCATATAGTACCAGGGATCAAACCCAGGTCCTTGCGCTTGCCCGACAGGCACTTAGGCTGCCATGCTATTTCCCCAGACCTCTTAATGTTCTTAAATTTGCCTACAGTAAGCATAGTATATGTATCAACTAGACCCTGTCCGCCCAATACCCGCTTCATGATGAACAAAGGCTTTCAGGTTTGTACTGACTTTACCACTTATCATTGACAGCACCCTGGGCAAGCTCTGTTTAATTCCTCATCTGTAAAAGGACAATAATAATAGTAGCCACTTCTTACATGAGAATAAAATGAGAGAACATGTGTAAAGCATTAAAAAAGTGTCTAGCACCGAAGGGCTCAAAAAATATTAGCTTAATATAACTACTACTATCCAATTGGCTATGCCAACCTAGCCAACACTGGATACCCATAATCAGGTCTCTAAGTTCAATAATATATAAAGCATCATATGGAGTTACATCATCTCCTGCATCCCTAGAATTCTCTAGACCTCCCATACGATGTTCTTTCTATCTATCTACTTATTTATCTCCTATGCCATCTATGGACAGCAACACATTGATGTCTAGAGATCCTCTTGCCTACAGCCTTGATTTGTGACTTGATTTCCCCTACACCAAAAAGCATCTCTTGGGGCTGGGGAGATAGCTCAGCAGTCTAAGTATGTCCCTAGCTAGCACAATGACTGAGTTCAATCACTGGTACCACACGCCATGCCAGCCCCATACCCCAAGACACGCTGTGCTAGCCCCAAAACCAGGGTAATGGTGCATGCCTGTAATCCCAGCACTGGGGAAGCAGAGACAGCAGGATCACTATGAATCTGAACTTCACAGCAAGACCCTGTATCCAATAAATAAACAGAAAAAAAAAAATGTCTTAAAAAAAAGCATCTTTGGGGTTGGGGAGATGGCTCAGTGGAATAAGCGCTTGCCTGGCAAACACAGGGGCCTGAGTTCAATCCTTGGTTGCGCAAAAAAATAAAATAAAATAAAAAGTTAAAATTAAAAAAGCATCTCTTGGGCTGGTGAGATGGCTCAGTGGTCTAAAGCATCTACTTAGAACAAGCTTAGCGAAGCCCAGGGACCATGGTTCAATCCCCCAGCACCACATGCCAGCCAGCCCGCCCCCTGGTGGGCTGAGCTGGCCACACACACACACACACACACACACACACACATAAATAAATAAATAAAATTTAAAAAAAAAAAAAAAAAAAGCATCTCTTAAGAACACACCTTAAAAAAAGGGGGGGGGGCGTGGAGATGGCTCAGTGGAATAAGCGCTTCCCTGGCAAGCGCAAGGGCCTGAGTTCAATCCCTGGTTCCACCAAAAAAAAAAAAGAACACACCTTAAGAGACCAACCCACATGTCAGCAGTCACTGGGTTCCATACATCCTTGACTTCTAATAACCAAGTTCAGCCCAAGTGAAGAAAGAGGGTTGCTATTTTTTTCTTCCATTCTTGAAAAAATTCATTCCTAAAACCATTAAATGCAGCAGGAAAAAAAAAAAAAAAAAAAAACAGTATCTATACCAGGTGGGACAGCCAAATGGGTAAGGGGAGTGTCAGAGCCCAGGCAGCAGTGTGACACTCTCCCGTGGAGAGGTGGGAAGCTGTGTACCATGTCAGACCAAGGGTGAGTGTGGAGGGCACTCATATTGAGGGTGGTCTCATGTTGGGATTCATAGGCAGTATAAAAGAGGCAACCATGAAGGGTAAATGGCAGTGGCCAACAATGGGAGATGAGTTACATACAGAGGAATTGAGTAAAGTGCATATGTTAAGGATAATGGGAACCAGGTAAAAAATCTGTAATGATGGGCTGGAATTTCGCAGTTAAGAGTGTGATATCTGGCCAGGGAGATAGCTCAGCAGCCTAAGCGCCTGACTGGCAAGCACAAAGACCTGAATTCAATCTCCAGTACCACCAAAAAAAAAAAAGTGTGTGATATGCATATACAGTTGTAGATGTAAATATAAAGACTGTATGTAGACTTATATACACAAACATTCCTCTTTTAACAATACGGTTCTGTTCTTGTGTCTAAGTTAAGTGAATTGGCTGCTAAATGGAGAAATATATACAGTATGTACATTACAATATTCAGAGTAAAGAAGTGGTACAAGGACACTCTAACTTGATGACTTTTATTTGACTTACATGCAGTACTGCAATGTATAACAAAACAAAAACTATAGAGCTACACTGTGCAGTTCAACCAACAAAAATTACAGTACTGTATACACAAAGTGTATTATACCAAAAAATAACATAGAAACTTTATAAACAAAAAGTACAGAAATGTCAAAAAAAAAAAAAAAAAAAAAAAAAGACAAGGGCCGGGGAGATAGCTCAGCAGCATAAGCACCTGCCTGGCAAGTACAAGGTCCTGAGTTCAATCCCCAAAAAAGACAAGGTTGTGGGGCCAGAGAGATAGCTCAGCAATCTAAGTGCTTGCCTGGAAAGCACAAGGACCTGGGTTTGATCCCTGGTTACTGCATGCCATGCCAGCCCTAGAAAGCCGGCCAACGAAACTGGGTGTGGTGGCACATGCCTGTAATCCCAGCCTGGGGACACTGAGACAGGAAGATCACTATGAGTCTGAGTTGCATAAGGAGACACTGTACCAAACAAATAAATATTTTTTTTAGAAAGACAGGTTGTAGGGCGGGGAGATGGCTCAGTAGAATAAGCACTTCACTGGCAAGCGCAAGGGCCTGAGTTCAATCCCTGGTTCTGCCAAAAAAAAAAAAAAAAAGACAGGTTGTAAGTCCAAGCACTGAGTCCTAAATCTGAACACCATGCCTCAGTCACAAATGTGAACAGCAGTTAAACAGCTTATTAAATGAAGAATATCTGTATTCATATACAAATATATACAGATGCATATAAATCTTTTAGCTCTGTCTAAAGAATAATCACAGACCAGGAACACTCAAAAACAGGAATAAGTATACCTCAGTTCCCTTATGAATACTATTCTCAGGCCAGCCAAATAGCTCAGCGGATTAAAG